CTTTGAGGGATTAGAGATGTTTTGGGACCGATGTAGCTAGATGGGTCTGGGTACATGCGACACTATTTCTGTACATTTTAGGTTGATGTCTCTATGCTGACTCATATTAAGTTTCTAGTATAGAGTTCCCACATGTAGGTGTTCTCAACGGTCGCACGGTACATTGGCTAGTATGAGATTGTTCTTTTTTTGAAGAGATTGAGATAAAGATGTGGCAGTGTCATGCCAACTCATGTGCAAGTGGGAGATGTTAGAAATTGGGCGCTCATGTGGCATGATCCTTTGAACTTTTTGAACCTTATCCATGTAAGTTTGAATATGAATTCAAAACTTATTTGGATAACCACTCATGATATCTATATTTATCATATCAACTGATATGGATAAATGATATAGTTATTCTATATATCTGATATGATATATGGGATATGGGGATAATGGAAACAACGTATGTTTTTCCCATACTGACTATCTCCCATTAAACAAGCTTTTTGCATTGTGACTTGTGTGGGTGATACTCATATTGTGTATCACTCTACTACTGGGTTCGTTGTTTGCATTTTTGAAGTACGTGATTTATTCATGAGATTCTTCGCTTCAGATTCTGTCACTAAGGTATGATTTGAAATTTTTACCCGCTGCGTTATACTTTAATTTACATTGGAGTTCTACATCTCCAATATCATACTAAGGTATGATATGAGGGTGAAGGGAAGATCATCTAGTTCTACATCTCTGCTCTATATTCACTGTCGATAACTCACATCGCTCTCTATGGGGTGCTGATTGGGTGTGAATATAATGCGGGACCTAGGAGAGTCAAACATGTTCTTTGAGGGATTAGAGATGTTTTGGGACCGATGTAGCTAGATGGGTCTGGGTACATGCGACACTATTTCTGTACATTTTAGGTTGATGTCTCTATGCTGACTCATATTAAGTTTCTAGTATAGAGTTCCCACATGTAGGTGTTCTCAGCGGTCGCACGGTACATTGGCTAGTATGAGATTGTTCTTTTTTTGAAGAGATTGAGATAAAGATGTGGCAGTGTCATGCCAACTCATGTGCAAGTGGGAGATGTTAGAAATTGGGCGCTCATGTGGCATGATCCTTTGAACTTTTTGAACCTTATCCATGTAAGTTTAAATTTGAATTCAAAACTTATTTGGATAACCACTCATGATATCTATATCTATCATATCAACTGATATGGATAGATGATATAGTTATCCTATATATCTGATATGATATATAGGATATGGGGATAATGAAAACAATGTATGTTTTTCCCATACTGACTCTCGCCCATTAAACAACAATCAAGCTTTTTGCACTGTGACTTGTGTGGGTGATACTCATATTGTGGTATCACTCTACTGCTGGGTTCGTTGTTCGTATTCTTGAAGCACGTGATTTACCTACGAGATTCTTCGCTTCAGATTCTGTCACTAAGGTATGATCTGAAATTTTTATCCGTTACGTTATACTTTAATTTACATTGTGACTTTCAGAGCTGGTGCTTCTGCTAGAGAGACAGATGTAACTGGGTAAGAGGAGACCAACCCATCCATGAACGTCCTTGTTGAGTCGTGAAGGATAGCAGCAGCTGTAGCTCACTACTCACATTTGTTACTCTCTTTGAAGATGGTTTAAAATTAGGGATCAGCTTCCGGTCCACTTTGTAGACTAAGCTGTGTTGTTCGGATTCGTAAAATTTATTATGAATTTTATTTCAATAAGCTATATTGTTCATATTAAATCACAATGTGTGGATCATTTATAAAAAAAAATCAGGTCAATTTGATTATTATAATCACATTAATTTATTATATTTGTATCCTAAAGAATGAATGGATTAATTTTCAAATAATATTTGACATTTGTTTTTTTGCAAATAAATGTAATAATATATTTATGATTATCAAATTGACTTAATTTTTTTTATAGATAATCTACGCATTACGATCTAAAAAATAAACAAATTTGAATTATCAAATCAGTACTCATAGTGAGCCCACAGCCCGAACAACACTCTGGGTTGATTTGGGAAGTGGGTTGACTTTTTTATTTTTTGATTTTTTTGGCTATTTTAGCCTGGGCTAAAAAGCTTTATTTGAGAATGACTTTTTGACTTTTTAACTTTTTTTACTTTTTTTTGTAAGAGAAGAGTGTAATAATTATGAGTTGAATGTGATATTTTGTTTGTTGTGACTAAAATAACCTATTTTATTTTTTGTAACTATCTACAAACCATCTTCCCAAACAGCCCCTCTACTGCCTTAAAATTATAACTTTATCCAATTTGGGTTGGTTCTACCATTTATTTACATCAATTCCAGTGTCGGTAAGGGAGCTGACAAAAACTTGAAAGCATTGGATACATTCCAACTGAAGGAAAATTAATTTAGGTTTGGGGATTTGGTTAATTATTTTTTGCTGATGATCAAAAAAATGTCAATGAAAGTGATACAAAGAACTATAAATTATCTATTTAGAATGTTTTTACTCCCGTCACAATTCCCTCCCTACTCATCACTATCACGGGCCATCGGACCATTATTATTGGTGACCTCCTTAAACAATCACCTTCAACCATCACCTCTTATAAATAATCACCATCTCTTATCAGAAATCACATTGGGCCATCACCTTTAATTACTGGTCACTACCTCCAATCGTCGATAACCATTTTCAACTATCACCTCCTTCAACTGACAACCATGTGACCTCCACAAACCACCACCCATTGATGACAATCACCTTTAGTGACTATCTGCAACCGTCGACAATTATCTTCGACTATTACCTCTTACTAGTAACTCCTTTCACTTGTATTCAAAACATGTTTATAAAAAATAAACATAAAACGTATTTAGTATTTTTTATAACAAAAAATAATAAATTATAAATATTGCCGAACAAAACCAAAGTGTTTGGTTGTGTTGATCTTTTTACGTTTTCATTTTTCATTAGTCATTTTCATGTTTTCAAAAACAAATTAATGCAAAGTTTGAAAACACCTTCAGTTAAACAATTTTCAAAACTTTGAAAATTATTTTTTATTTTCAGAAATTTTTTCTAAATCACTATTCAAAAGTAGTTTGCCAATCAAAAAAATTTTTTTTCATAAAATGAAAAAATAAAATAAAATAAAACAGTCATATCTGCATACTAAGCTAGAGAGAGAAAGAGATTATAGGCTACAGCTATCTGGTTTTAAGTTAGTAATCAGATTCTTGAAATTTTTTTGACAAAAATAAAAATGAAAAAAAAAATTAGATGAATTATAAATATAATTTGTTTAAAATATAAATTGTTTCTTGTAATTTTTAAAATTATATTACACCCTTTTAAATTTTAATTTTATAGCAAATAAATCATTTTATTAATAACTCATTAAATCAATTAATCATTTTTAATAATATCTTAAATATATTTTAATTAATAATTTAAATAATTTTATTATGTATTGGATGCAGTTAAAAGTTTAATTCTATTAAATAAAAAATTCTAACAAGTGGGTACTTGTAATTTTTTAAATTACTAAGGATAAATTTTTTTTAATTAAATCTCGATAATGTATTTATAATTTATTCAAAATCATAAAATAAAAGGCAAATTACATATACCCTCGAGGTTTAGCAAAATTATAAATATCCCATGAGACTATTTGCATAATAAATTAAAGGGCAAATTGTTATGAACTCAGAAAAATATCTGTAATTTCTGAAACCTCAGGAAAGTATTTATAATTTAGCTAAACCTCAAGGGAAGTATATGTAATTTGTCTTAAAATAAAAAGATGTCCCAAAACAATAGAAAATTGAACCCGACGTGAATCGAACACGCAACCTTCTGATCTGGAGTCAGACGCGCTACCATTGCGCCACGGATCCACTTATTAGGTAAGGGAATCAAATACTCTTATATAGTACTTTTATATAGACATTTCATAATAATACTATAGCCCAACTTTTCTTTGTATTTTCATATATTTATTTAATGGGAATATAGTTTAGATATTAAATTTTCAAGGATTTTGTTGAAGCTTAATTTTATTGTATATTTCACATAAAACTTGATGTCATAAATAATATACAATCTTGTTAAACTCTCACACGAATTTTGATACATATCTTATACATCATACATCAAGAGATGAAATGGGAGACTTTAAAATAATGTTTAGATTACACAATAAACGCTATAAAAATTTATGATTATACGAAATTGCACAAAAAAATAAAAATAAATACTGAGAGTCTGTTTTGTAATAATCAATTTAAAAATTGGGTATAGGACTTATATGTTAAGTTGACAACTGTAACTAATTACAATGTCTGTTTTACGGATAAGTTGACTGAGATTACGAGTATTATCCGATTGAATGATATAATTATATATTAGTATGTTGTTATTGAGTAGAAGATATTCATTCGTTTGTTTATTAGTGTAATGGTATTAATTGATTGTGATTAAATTTATAAAATTATAAAAAAAATAAATAAAAAAATCATTTTTTATAGACTAAAGACAAAATAATCTTCTACTTTCAATCCCATAAAATTGAATAAGTAATTAAAATCTCCAGGGAATTTTGATCAAGCATTTTAGCAAAAAAAGAACACATTCTATTTCTCCTCCTACTAACCAAACTAGCAAAATTCGTACTATCGTACTACAATTTACAAACTTCCCAATTGGACAAAAAGGGAAGCTCACACAAAATCTCTCTTACTAACACTTCATTTTTTTTTTTTTTTTTTTTTTTTTTTTTTGATCGGCAAAGAAAAATTTCATTAACAACATGAAATTAAAGGTACAGGAAGACAACATGCTTTGAGAGAGATTCGGAAGTATAAAAATACCCCTACTACTGCTACTCGCATCCATACAACCAACCCCTTGACCTCACGTTTTTTTTTTTTTAAAACAAAAAAGTTAAGAATAATCTTCTACTTTCAATCCCATAAAATTGATTAAGTAATTAAAATCTCCAGGGAATTTTGATCAAGCATTTTAGCAAAAAAAGAACACATTCTATTTCTCCTCCTACTCACCAAACTAGCAAAATTCGTACTATCGTACTACAATTTACAAACTTCCCAATTGGACAAAAAGGGAAGCTCACACTAAAATCTCTCTTACTAACACTTCATTTTTTTTTTTCTTTTCTGAGATACAAACTAACACACAAACTTGAATTCATCACTACAAAACAGCAACAACACTAATCCATTAATTCCATTACATCTTTTAAGAATTTGAAAACGGCGAATGCTGACGCGTATACTGTTATTTAAAACCCTGTTTGTTGGGCATTGTCAATTGGAAGGAACATGGTAGTATTTCCCTTTGCACATGCATCTGTAAACAATAGGGCAGGACTCAGTAGCACACTGGAAGCTAACCATCACCCTCTTGCATGGAAAGCATGGTCCACATGCATGGGAACAGTCTGGCAAGCTTGAACCAGTTGGGTATAGTTCCATCCCAAGCTCTACTACCTTTGCTTCATTCTGAGATTATTAACAAAACACACACACACATGTGAAAGTAAATTAGCACTAGAGTATTAAAGCCATACAACATATGAATAATTATTCAGTAATTTTGAAATATTTTGTATTATTGATTATGCAAGTGCTCGCAACCAATGACATAGTAGAAAACTTTATGGATGTGACATTGCTAACCATTTTTGTTAAATAAGCGGGAAATATTATTTATCAGGAGTTCCAAATAGATAATGTGTCTGTTTGGTATAATTTATTGTATGTTAAAAGTTGATAATAAAAAAAACACAAGTTAAAAACATCTGTAACTCAGCTTCCAAATAATTAACTTACTAAACTATTTTTATCTAACAAACTGTAAGTAGAAACTGTATTAAATAATCTAGCACAAACTCTCAAAATAATAAATAAATAAAAAATTGTAAGTAACTCATATAAATGACTAACGATTTTCTGTAATTACATAATAATTTTCTCATATGGGTTGGAGTCTATAATGAATTATGTTTTGGTTTTAAATTCTGTTTTGGCAGAATTTTTTTTTTAATGTAAAATATATATATATAGTAAAAAATATTTATATATATATATATATATATATATTTGTATTGAATTTTGTTTGTGGTAGTACAAAATACTAGTAAATGTATTATTGTCCACTATAAACAACAAAAGGGCATTTTGGAAAACAAACCTCGGGGTACATGTGACTTCCATCTCCACTATAAGTACCTTTTCCATTAAAGTTTCCTGATATATCTAAGTAAAAAATAAAACCATTAAATGTAAGTACACATATACATATATATATATATATAGAGAGAGAGAGAGAGAGTTAGTAAGAATGAAAAATCATAATTTCAAAGATAAAATGTGCTTACAATGATGAGGCCTGAGGCTTTTAGCAACTGTTAGCACCATGATGAGGATAGCAATGGTGAACAAGGTGTTCATGTTCTTCATATCTCTCTCTCTCTATCTCTTTCTTTTTCTCTCTATTTGTATATGTTGTTGAAGCAAAGCACACACAAAAGTTGAAGAACCTTTTGAAGATGTGTTGTTACATTAGGAAGGGAAAGTACAACACATTTTCAAAACCAAGAAAGAGAAGAGTTTGGGAGGGAATGTGATCAATGGACAAAGTTAAACCATATATATATACATATATATGGGAAATTAAATAAAAAATAAAAAAGGAGAGGGGGGCTGGTTTTAAATGTTAGGATGTACATTTGATGCAGTACTTCACATGATCCATGGCCACATTTTGAAGGGTTTCACATGTTTTGGTGAGCCATCAAAATTTCTTTCAGGTTTTAAACTTTCACATTTCTACATACAAACAAATTTTACTATAAGCACAAGTACTTCACGTTTCTACATACAAACAATTTTTACTATAAGCACAGGTACTACAGATATGGGTACGGATCGATGCACTGATATACGATTATGCCATTGGTAGGTTGATATGACAAAAGCAAAATTAGGGTAAATTACATTGACACTCCTTGAACTTTGGTCTAATTACTACCCATTCTTTGATGTTTTGGAAATTACATCTTCACCCCTGTTGTTAATAGTCTCATTTCACAAACCCTCCTATTTTATATAAAAGGTAACAACTCCTAATAAAAAAACAGAGGAAATTACATTAAAAAAAAAGATAAAGGAAATGGAAATGGAAAAAAAAAAGAGAAAGTAAAGCAAAAAAAAAAAAAAGAGTGCATAAGTTCAATGTCTTTATTCCGTCTAAATAATTACAATGACAGGGGGGTTAGTGTAATTTTCTAAACGTCAGAGAGTGATATGTATTAAATCCAAACCTCAAGGAGTGTAGTGTAATTTACCCTAAAAATTAAGATACAAGTACAGGGTATTTTCATAAAAGTAGAAATATAAATGGAAGTCTAAAGAATGTTATTTCAAAATTGTGGCAATTGCATAAATACTTTAATTTTTTTATTTATTTTTTGGTATAAGAGATCATATATTTACTCCAGTACCATTATATATATTTTTTAAATATATATTTATACCTTGGCATACCCACAAAATTACATACTGTGTACTCATGTTGTACCCAACATTCTTTATTTTTAAAGTATCAAATGCATATTTACTCATTGTGCATCTACTGGTACCCGTATTGTAAACGCATCAAATACTTGTATGACATAATTTTTCGTGGACCCAACTTCATATATTCAAAACCTTATGTTGTTTTTGGTTGGGGAATTTAGAGAGAAATTTAGAAATAGAAAGGGAAAATGTATGTGAAACAGGTGAATGTAAGTATATTTTATTCACATTTCACCTAACTTTTCATTTTCTATTTCCAAATCCCTCTTCAAATCTCCTAACCAAACACAACATTAATAAAAACAATTTAGAATCTTATATTTTGAAATCACTATTCTCAACACAATCTCAACCATATGATGTAGTGAAAATTTTAAAGCACGGACGACAGAAGTTTTGAAGATAGAATGTCATTTATAACAAAATGATACGATGACAATATATATTAGGATTTCTTTGGCACTAACTAAAATGTCTTTTTGACTAAACAATACTCAACTTTTGCGAAAAATTAAAATTAAAATTAACCACTTTAAAAAGTCATTAAAAAAGAAGAAACTAGTAATATACCAAAATAACTAATTTTTTTAGCATTAAATTTTTATTTTATTTTTTTTTGGTAGATGTATGCCTATTTGGGAATCCACCATTTAGCTAAAAGTCAAAAAACTACTTAATTATTTAATTTTCTCAACTTTTTTACATATATTTTTATAAAAAATAAAAAAATTATTAAAAAGCTAATTTCTAAAATAAGCCTTATTATTTTTAGCTAATAGGTTAGCTTTTTAGCCAACTTGGACGTAGGTATGTATATGGAAATTAGTTGTGTTATACATAAAGAAAGAATTTCATTACATAAGACACAAATATGACCGATGAGATTTTAGATATGGTTTGGTTTAATTTGATTAGGACATAAATGTGACTCAATGTGTTCAACATTTACAGTTGCAAACAAAGGTTTTATATCTATAATTACAAATATTATATCATACATCTATAAAGTCTGTATCTGGTACTTTTTGAACACTTAGGCCTCGTTTGGAAATATGCTATTTTAGTAATTTTTTGGCTAAAATGTGAGGTAAAAAAAATTTTGTTTGGGATAACTTTTTAACTTTTTATGAAAAAATGTGCAAAAAGTAAGGAGAAAAATGAATCTTTAACTTTTTAGTATAAGTTGTTGACTTTTTAATTTTTTAATAATTTTTTGACTTTTAAACTAAAACAGTCACTTGTCAAACGACACTTTAGACTATATGTACTTTTTAAGTGAAAAAAGGGGGTTATTATAATAAGTGGATAGGAGAGAAATGAGGGAGTTCACGTGGACAGGCACTTGGGAACATTAGATGAAGTTGAAGTTGAAGTTGAAGAACACACTCTACCACTGGCAAAGGTCAATTGAAGAAGGCCTCTGTCACAAACGTGAATAGCTCAGACCTTTGTCTTTAATGAATCCCACTTTTTTTTTTTTGGCTTTTGTTTTTGTGTTTTTGATTCTTCTATGCCTTTATGAATGCTTCTATATCTCTCTGCTGTTCCCATGTTTCTCATTTATATCCAGGGTTGAAGTTGGAATTTTTTATTGTTTGTTAACACTTTCCTTTTCTATTTTTTTATTTTCGTTTTCACTTTTTTTTTTTTTAACTGAAAACAAAAAATGATTTAGTATTTTTTTTTAACAAAAGTGAAATTGATTTTAAAATTTTTAAAATTAAAAAAAAAGTATTTTTACTTGTTTATAAAACAGAAGTGATTGAGACCACTAAAAAACACACCACTAAAAGCTCTAATGAGGTGAAAAATGTAAAATAAAAAATAAAAACAGAAGAGACAAACATCACATCAAAGAGGAGTCACATCATTAGTGTTATCTTTAGTGTTCCCGTTTTAATGCTCCCAAGCATTAAACTCTCTCCTCTCCTCTATACATATTCACCGCCGGCCACCACTAGCTGCCGACCACCTGTGACACTTTGGCTACCAACTCCGATGGCCACCTTTCACCTCCAAACACCATTTCTGGCAACTTAGAAAACATGCTTCTTTATTTTTATTTTTTTAAAAATGTTTTTGTAAATCAAACAAATTTTTGTTTTAAATTTTTTTACAAAAAATAAAAACTTATTTTCTATTTTTTGTAAACAGAAAACAACATACTGACAAGATTATCAATCAAGTGGAGGTGTAGCAAACAAAAAAAAAAGTTATTTGGGTAAAAAAATCTCAATTGTTTCGAATAATTTTTGCTCTATATAATAAGTATCTCGGTGCAATCCAAAAAATTAAGGTCTTAATGTACAATTTATTATTAGACTATCATTTTAATGCATCTTATTGGTTAATAATATTAATTCATATAAATAAAAAAATACCTTTAGAATTTTTAGAATAAAAATATAATAAATGACATTTACATGTCAAATTAATATAATTGATCCTATTAAGTAATATGTGAATAGTTGCCAATCAAAAAGTAATATGTGAATAGTTCGGATCATGACATATATATATATATATATTTTAAAAATTGAATATTCAGGTTAACTTACGCGCAACTCAACTAATCTTAAGATTTTAAAGTTAACGATCGGACAAACCTGCAATTTATATTGTGAGAAACCAATAATAAACTTTAAAATAAAAAGATCATTCTATAAACTTTGTGAAAATACCCATAAATTAAGGGGGCGAACCCTTAAGTTCCTCCTAGGGCTCTCATGCAAACTAAGAGATCTTAGGTTTCATTTCTCTTCATTTTCAACTTTTTCTTCAGAGCTGATGCCTACTAATTATCTTAGGAAAATATTATAAGTTCCAAATTTTTTATCAAAAATTACAGGTTTCATACCCATATAAGATATTTAATAATTTATTTTGTAAAAATTTGATATTTCTAACATTATTACCCATTATCTTATGGTTAGATCTGGACACACATAAGAGAGTGGCATCCCCGACAACGATGTTAAGTGTCCCATGGACCGGATACCAAGCAAGAGACTCAAACCAAAGCATTTTTTGTGAGCATTTCGAGCTCTGTTAAAAGAAACAAACAAATAAACAAACTCAAATATTTGGCATTTTGTCTAATTATATCATGTCATCTGGGCATATTAGGTCATTTTCAAAATTGATTTCTTTTTTTTTTAATTCGAGTCTAGGACCTAAAATTAAAAATTTCACATAAAAAAATTCACTAGAGATAACAACTATTTTAATACTTAGCAAACAAAGGTCTATCTAAGAGACGGCACAATCTTTTAGTTGCATACATTATACATATCAATCCACCTAGGCAATGTAAAGGCCATTATATTTTTTTTGTTTTTGGCCATACCAACTAAACAAAATGCAAAAAATAGTCATATAAATAGATATAATTTTAATATAAAATTTGTGTATAGAATTTCAATATGGAGGCTTGAATATAGGTCTTAATATGTGAATTTATTGTCTAATAGGTTCTAAGTTCTATGATAATTAATGCCTTTTTTTTAGATTCATCACCGGGAAGCTTGAATGAAGAAGCATGTAAGAAGGAACCTTTATGTTCAATGAGTATAGTTTCGCGGGGAGGATGATTTGAAGAAACGATAGTATTAGGGGAGGTTCACCATTTCTTTTTGGTAATAATTTTCTAGATAATCAAATAAATTAATTTCAGCACCAATTTCAATCATGAACTTATACCATTTCTTAGTTATTTTGGATTGTTGTTGGTTATTGTAAGTATTCCGATAAGTATGTCGGTTTAATTTATTATCTTTGGATTTAAATTCAGCATGAAGCAGATTAAGATTTGAGGTAAAAAGTTTACTTAATAACTGTGGATTAACAGGAATAATTACTTCAAAATCAGTTTGAGTAGGTGAATCTTGAGATGTAGCATCTTTTTCATGAATATGTGTGTGGATTGAATACACTGGTTTATTTATTTGAGATGTAAAAGAATTATCTATGCCTTTTAACTTACTATTGGCAGTATGTGAAGGTTGACAGAGGTGAAGTTTTCTATCTTTTCTAATAAATAGAGGCATACTAAAAATTTCATCGTCGCCAGTGGAAATACTGGAGGTACTATTACGAGAAGAATGATTATTATTTTGGCAATTAAAACGTATGTGGACTGAACCATCATCATATTGTTGGATTTGTCGGACATCATTACTATCAGATTGGTATGGATGAACATAATTTTCATTGACTATAACCCAATTATCTGGAAGAGTATTAAAAAAAGGTCACTAATTATTAATTTTCAATGACCGTTTAAAAATTATTACAAAAAATGTCACTAATTATAAATTTTAGCAATAGTTTAAAAAAATCGTTAACTATTAGCGACAATCTAAAAAAATTGTCATAGAAAAATATCACTAATTATAAATTTTAGTGCGAATTTATAAAAATCTTGACAAAAAGTTAGTAATTATCAATTTTTAGCGACATGTAAAAAAAATCATCACAAAAAATTATTTTTCACGACGATTTTATTATGACTTATTTTAATAAAATTTAATGAGAATTAAATCCAACAATTATAAGTTATTAGTAATTACCCTATTAATTTTATTATAAATTCCTTGTAAGAAGTATTTCTAAAAACATCAATCCTCAAAACATCCACTTACACTAATCTCCACCTCCCCAGCCATGCATAAGTACCATTTTGATTGATTATAGTAAGGTGCCTCTAATGCTGTGTTTGGTTAGAAGACTTGGAAAGGAATTTGAAAAAGAAAATGAAAAAAGTAGATGAAATGTGAATAAAACATATCTATATTTTACCTAGTTTCATACACATTTTCCCTTTCCTTTCCAAATCCCTCTCCAAATCTCCCAACCAAACACAGTATAAATGCATCTCAAAAATATGATTGAGCTCTCTATTTCTTTAAACACCTCACTCTTAAATTTATATTTTATTCTTCTTTGAAGATCCTAATTAATTCCGACCTTAACTCCACCCACCTCAACCACCTTCTGCCATCCCCCATGTCGGTGCCACCTCTACCACTACCCTACCATCTCCGGCGTAGAAAATAATCTCTCCAGATCACAATAAATTTATATAAGGACCATACCCTTCATTTTCTATGCGCTTCGTAACTTTTATGTCGTTGTAATTTTTTTAACTTGATGGCTATGGCTATTTAATTAAAAAATATATATATTTACACCGTAAATGCAAGCAAATCTAAGAGCATCTCCAACGGTAGTAGGCATTTTACCTATCTAAATATTACTATAAAGTATATATTTTATTTTGCCTATCGACTGTTTTATGTTTTTACTCCAACCATGCTCTTTATTTTAGCTATTTATCCAAATACTATTAATTTTATAGAATGTCACGTCAACAACAAAGATGGAGGGAAATGATCCTAATGATTGAATACATTTTGCCTAGCATTGAAGGCTAGCTACATGTAGCTAGTGAATATGAGTTGAGGCAAAATGCCTAATCATATGCCTAGTGCATTGGAATTGAAAAAAGTGAATCACACTAGGCATTTTAACTAACAAGTATTATATGCCTAGTGCATTGGAGATGCTCTAATGATTAAAACTGTAGAAAGAAGTTGATTAATACACAAGACTTAAACCAAATTTATACAGCAGATCACAAGTAACATGATGTTAATAAATCCCAAAACGTGTTACTAAAGTTTACCATAATATATGAACACTGAAAAATATAATTTGAATAACTTACAACACATGAATGTTACTCGTTCACTCTATCGAAATTCTGCAATCTCAAATACTCGAGCAGTTCCATCAATCGAAACGGAAACCAGGAATTCTCCGTTAGCAGATACAGCCAGTGACTGAATGGCATCGGAGTGGCCACTGAAGGTCTTCACACACTCTCCTGAGAGACTGTCCCACAATCGTACCTTCCCGTCTACACAACCTGTAGCCAAGAACCTTGATGCACCTAGCCATGACAAGCATGCAACCCCATCCTGCACCCAAGAAACACACTCTTAATGATAACCGGTGATCTAAAAATCATAGATCCTTCGAACACTTTCGAATATGTGTCTGATAGTCTTTTTTCCGTCTTCATAATAAAAATAAATATAAATCTTAATTTTAAACATGTGCCTGGCACTCTTTCTTGTGACATGTCCGTCACTTCTTGACCATGTCTATCACTAAAAAATAAACATGAATCCAACACTTAATGGACATTAATGTATGATGTTTAAAGTTTAAAAATTTGACATTAATATCTTATAACTGTAACAAATTTCTCTCTTAAGAACAATCCTATAGAAGTTTCACATAAAATTAAATGAGAAAGATAAGTAAATATATTAACAGATGGCTTAGGATGATGAGGGAAATGTTTTAATTAATTATGTTTGCTATAATTTGTCAAATTTTTAAGTATTATTGTCTAGTAATCTAAAAATTAATTTAAGAGAATTAGATACAAAATTTACTTAGTATGAAGTAATTATTTAGTTTGGTATATATTATGCACATATATAACTACATGCTATAATATATTCCTAGATTAGATATAGTTATTTGTGGCATGTCCAAACAGTTTGTGCCCCTACTTTTTTGGAATTAACTGTGTAAAAGAGTTCATGTTGTGCCGTATTTGTGTCTCATGTCCGTGTCTATACTTCATAGCCAGAGATGGAAATGTCATAACCCCCTAAGTTTATACAAACTAGGTGGTCAATCACATCATATATGCCAAAATGATTTTTAGTTTTTTAGTTATTCAAAACTAAAATCCAGCATCTTCAGGGAAAAAGAAAAACATAAAGCAGAATGCCAGACAAACCTCATGGTCGCACGTGCAGCGGGGCAATGAATGCTGCAGATCCCAGACAATAAGCTTCTGATCCATGCTTCCTGTTGCAGCCCAAGGGGAGCTGTCATGCAAATTTTAGTCATGTTAGTTCATTTAGGACACATGACAGCTCCCCTTGGGCTGCAATGGATAAATTTAAGGAAAAAAAACGTTAACTTCATTTTACCTCCTTGTAGTTTGTGATTGGAGCATTTTACCCCCTATCGTTCAAATATAACCAGAAAACCCCCACATGGTTTTGAACTACAGTGTTACCGTTAGTTTTTCCATTCAAACTAACGGAAGATATTACCCAACATTTTTTAGAGTGGATTTTGTTTTCTAAAAAATAAGAATGAAATTAATACAACAAATGGACAATTTTACCTCCATTTTCTCCAAACCTAAAATTAGATTAATATGTTATTAAAATAAAATAAAATATAATATAATTAAGAATTGATTTAAAATATAACTAAATAAAATATAAAATAAACAATAATTAAGAATTGATCTAAAATATAATTAAATTAAATTTAGATTAACATGTTACAAACTATAATAAATAATTAAGAATTTAGGATTAATTGTGATCTAAAATATAATTAAATTAGAAATAGAATAAAAAGGTAGTAATTACAATAAATAGTTAAATATTTAGGATTAATTGTAATCTAAAATATAATTAAATTAAAATTAGAATAAAAATTTAAGAATTACAATAAATAATTAAGAATTTATAATTAATTGTAATTTAATTGAATTAATACTAGACATTAAATTATGTGTGTAAGAGATGGAAGAGAGAGAAAATTACAAAAAAATATAGGATTTGAAGGTATTATAGTCATTTCACATATATAATTAACGGCGTTAACTGTTGCATTTTAATCCAAAATCACATAAGGGGCATATGGTTATTTTTTAAAGACAAGAAGGTAAAATTCTATCAAGCCATACGACAACGAGGTATAATGGATTTTTCCCTAAAAACAAGGGCTAATTACATTTTACCCCCTTGAAATTTAATCAAAAAACACTTCAACTCCCTAAAGTTTAAAATATATAAAATCACAACTCTCCTGAAAGTAAACCACATCATAGAAACTATATAACATCACAACTCTTCCAAAATCCATTCTTTGTTTTTTTTTAATTTTTAAAAATGACGGATCTGGGTCTCATATATAATGAATTGCAAATATAGAAGGTTTAAAGAGATAGATCAAGCAACCAAGACAATAGGTTGAACTTTTGCAATTTTATTCATAATTCGAAGCTTCTTCATACTGCCTACATGTTATCCCGAACATGATTGTCTTGATACACAAAGTACATGTCCTGTTTATAATCAATTTATGATTTATTACGTTATATATAATATTCTTTGTTCCTTTTATAAAAAATTTCCAACTTGTATCATAAATTGGATGGCCTATTCTGAGGCACACAATTCCATCCAAGTCGTATTCCATCTATGTATATGAAGAAAAGTTCAACTCATTATATCAATTACTGATAACATACTTTTCGGAAAGAAAAAAAAAAATACAGGTTTTTCAAACTGTTTAACGATTATATCAATTAATGTGATTCAAAAAAGTGTGTGATGTCAATCAACCACCAAATTGATTTTTCTGCAAAAGAACATTTATTTTCATGAGCTCTTAATGGAGCTACTGTCAGTGTGAACAAGATAGAGTGACAAGTTGATTGGGTTTATCTGGCATTACTGTTGGGTGTGGGTGTTGAATTGTTGGTGAAGGCTTCTATGGAGAAGGAAAGAAAGCAAAACAGAAGGTGATGGAATGGCAGAGGCTACGGTTGCTGTTGTCGTAGAGGGAGGGAGAGAGGGAGCAGAGAAATAGGGGCTCTACAGTAATTTGACTCTCAAAATATATCAATGCACAATTAACACGCTCATGGTTAACAACTGAGCAACACACGTTATAGATAACTGATTCTGTTAGTTTTGCTTTTTACTCCAAATCACAAGGAGGTTATGTATATATATTTATACTTTCAGGTAGGTAAAGTGTTTTTGAGTAAAACCAGGAGGAGATAAAGTGTAATTAACCCTTAAAAAAAGGAGGAAAAAAAAATGCTCAAAAAGTCAAGAGCTATCTTGACTTCCTTCAAAGGGTTTCGATCCTTTGAGTAAAGAAAAGATGGCGAGAAACACCTAAAGGTGATTTAGCAAATTCTATTTGACATGCTTAAATAGGATTACTTCTTATATGGTCAGAAGCATTATTTGCATAATCAGCATTCTCAACACCAATTAAGAAACAAAAATACATATTATTCATCCCCAAGGTTTTTGATAAATTGGGAGTTAGCTCAAACATACAATTGCACAGAAAATCCACATGGCAAGATCACACAAACACCAGTTAAAGGTGAAAATAACCATTACATGCTATTTGATGGCTGACCTGGAATAGGAAAATAAATAATTAATAAGTTAGGTTCAGCACGTGTTTAAATGCAGAGTGAGGGACCTTGACAGCTAAACATATATTTAAATCTATATGTTTCATTCTTGTTTCAAATTGGTCATTGTATCCAAAATTGACTCATTCACAGGAGGCAAGTTCAGATGTGTCAATTTTGATTGGCAAGCTACCTCCCTAAGTGGTGAAGAGAGGTCCCATGTGCCAATTTTGATTAGCAAGCTACCTCCCTAAGTGGTGAAGGGAGGTCCCATGTGCCAATTTTGATTAGCGAGCTACCTCCCTAAGCGGTGAAGAGAGGTCCCATGCGCCAATTTTGATTAGCAAGCCACCTCCTTTAGTAGTGATAGGTCCCAAGTCATGTAAAGACTTGCAGACAAAAAGGAGGAAGCTGGCATCCTCTAACATGTGCATTTGTATTTTCTCTTCTTTCTTGTGTCATATCTCTGGTAGACACCATTCTAATCGCATCTACCATTGAACTTGGTAATTCATAGAGGTTTTTATCTCATATATTATTGAAACATCTTGACTACTAGATTTCCAAGAGTTGAAAATTCAAACAATCCTAAAATACGAGTAAATGGTGGTTTGTTGATGCATTCTTGACCAAAGATTGGAAAATTATTATTATAAACGTGTGTTGTGTTCCTCTGTCCCTGCCATTAATTAGGTAATACACCTTAATTCATATAAATCTATTTTCTTGAGAAAACACAGAAGAAATTAATAATTAAATAAAATCTCTTAGTATGTACCTTATTGCAAGCCCGATACATTCAATAGAGTCTGAGTGCGCATTCAAAGAACTAACAACCTGTGGATGGAAACTCAAGTTTTTAATCACCAAAAAATACTTACATGACTATGCACAAGAGATTACAGACCTGCCTATAATTAGAAACATACACCCACAATCTGAAATCTATTTTTTATCCACATAATACAACCCAATGCCGTAAATATGAGTTGACTGTACATATATAGAAGCACATCGATTTCATATTTATAAGCAACAAAATGCAAAGATGAATACAATTATAATACCATGATGGGTGGTAGCATATTTGAAATGATCACTAGTCTATATTTCCACTTCCCATAAAAAAGAGAAAATACATGGTACATAAAAATTAATAGATCAAATATAGAAAAGCGGCTATTGCTTGGTCTAGTGGTAAAAAATTGGGCTGTCAAACATAGGGCTGCAAGTGAACAGAATTGTTCGTGAACAAGCTCGAGCTCAGCTCGGTAAGAGCTCGTTCAAACTCGATTCATTAAATTTTTAGAGTTTGTGTTCAAGTTTGTTAATATCTTAATAAACAATCCCAAACATACTAAAACTCGGCTCGTTAGCTCAGCTCGTTTAACATTTATTTAAATAATAAAATAAATAATACAACCCAATGCCGTAAATATGAGTTGACTGTACATATATAGAAGCACATCCATTTCATATTTATAAGCAACAAAATGCAAAGATGAATACAATTATAATACCATGATGGGTGGTAGCATATTTGAAATGATCACTAGTCTATATTTCCACTTCCCATAAAAAAGAGAAAATACATGGTACATAAAAATTAATAGATCAAATATAGAAAAGCGGCTATTGCTTGGTCTAGTGGTAAAAAATTGGGCTGTCAAGCATAGGGTTGCAAATGAACAGAATTGTTCGTGAACAAGCTCGAGCTCAGCTCGGTAAGAGCTCGTTCAAACTCGATTCATTAAATTTTTAGAGTTTGAGTTCGAGTTTGTTAAAATCTTAATAAGCAAGCCCAAACATACTAAAACTCGGCTCGTTAGCTCAGCTCGTTTAACATTTATTTAAATAATAGAATAAATATATTATTTGTATATTAAATAATGTAAAAATGTGTATAAAAAATAAGATAACTATGATATTTATATATTTAAATAATGTAAATAATACTTAAATTTATTTATATGTAAATAATAGCTAACTATAGATAATGTATTTATATAATAGTGGTGGTGGATATTATTATTTTGGTAAGATATTGACTTTTCTTTTACTATGTTTATATACATTATATAATCAAAGTTTCAATTGTAACTTTAGTCTTATACGTAAGTATGAATTTATAATTTCTTTGGCTCGTTAAGACTCATGAACATGCTCGAGCTCGAATCAAATCTAAGCCAACTCGACTCAAGCTCAGTTCATTAAATTTTTATTGAGATCAAGCTTGAACTCGAACTCGAACTCGAACTTGAACTCGATAAAATCTTAATAAACAAACCTAAACATACTAAAGCAAAGCTTAGCTCAGTTCGGCTCGGCTCGGCTCGGTTCAGCTCGTTTGTAGCCCTGTGCAAGTTCAAGTCTAAGAGCATATTATACCCAAGGCTAGGCATTTTTCCCATCTACCCACCCTCCTAGCATCCTCTAATCCCTGACTATTAGAGACTAGGACTAGGGAATAGCCGATACAATAAAACAAGGCGCTAGTGTGAATTTATAATTTCTTTGGCTCGTTAAGGCACATGAACAGGCTCAAGCTTGAATCAAACCTAAGCCAACTCGACTCGAGCTTGGTTCATTAAATTTTTATTGAGATCGAGCTCTAACTCAAACTTGAACTCGATAAAATCTTAATAAACAAGTCCAAACATACTAAAGCTCAGCTCAGTTGCTCAGCTAGGCTCGGCTCGGCTCGTTTGTAGCCCTATGCAAGTTCAAGTCTAAGAGCATATTATACCCAAGTCTAGGCATTTTTCCGATCTACCCACCCTCCTAGCATCCTCTAATCCTCGACTATTAGAGACCAGAACTAGGGAATAACCGATACAATAGAACAAGGGGCTAGTGTGCACAAACATCTATGATTCATGAGGCTTATAAGCCGAAAACCCAAGAGAGAGATCTTCCAATTAAATGAGCGACATGGATATATGTAGCAATGCCCAAAATAGCAAGATAAGCAAACACCCTAAGATGCCAAATGATGTCATTTGTCTTACACACACACATACACAAACAAAACAAAACAAAAAAATATGAGAATGAGAAAACAAAAGCACATTACTACTAAATGCAACAAGAATTCGTACCTTCCCAGTTGTTATATTCACAATGTGAACAGAGCTGTCCTTAGAAGTCTTATACGTAAGTATGAATTTATAATTTCTTTGGCTCGTTAAGACTCATGAACATGCTCGAGCTCGAATCAAATCTAAGCCAACTCGACTCGAGCTCGGTTCATTAAATTTTTATTGAGATCGAGCTCGAACTCAAACTTGAACTCGATAAAATCTTAATAAACAAGTCCAAACATACTAAAGCTCAGCTCAGTTGCTCAGCTAGGCTCGGCTCGGCTCATTTGTAGCCCTATGCAAGTTCAAGTCTAAGAGCATATTATACCCAAGTCTAGGCATTTTTCCCATCTACCCACCCTCCTAGCATCCTCTAATCCTCGACTATTAGAGACCAGAACTAGGGAATAACCGATACAATAGAACAAGGGGCTAGTGTGCACAAACATCTATGATTCATGAGGCTTATAAGCCGAAAACCCAAGAGAGAGATCTTCCAATTAAATGAGCGACATGGGTTTATGTAGCAATGCCCAAAATAGCAAGATAAGCAAATACCCTAAGATGCCAAATGATGTCATTTGTCTTACACACACACATACACAAACAAAACAAAACAAAACAAAAAAAAAAAATATGAGAATGAGAAAACAAAAGCACATTACTACTAAATGCACCAAGAATTCGTACCTTCCCAGTTGTTATATTCACAATGTGAACAGAGCTGTCCTTAGAACCAGTAAGAGCAAGAGATGAATCAGAGGTTATTGTTAAGCATGTCAATCCTTCAGTGTGATATGAATGACCTACAGAAGATAGAACATTCTTTGTCAATAATGAATAGAAAAATCCAAAAGACAAATACCACCAGCCTAAAATTCAAATTTTCTTCTGTTTAGGAAGAAACAAAACCATCCCAGAACTCAGAAACCGTTCATCCAGTTTCTCGTGTTTCTCATTTTTGTTGAATAACATTAATAAATAAAAAAAAGCAGTTTATTAAATGGCACCAAATACACAGAAATGAAATAATCAGATTAAAGTAGAAACATGAAAAAGAGGCATGTGCTATTCTTCCATATAATTTTGACATGAATCAACGCTAATGGATGCTGTCATTGCTGGTGATGGGTCTTTAAGAGATGCAACTAACACCCTAAAAAATCGAGAATTAGACCTTAAGCTGAAATATCATGATCTCAATAACTAGAAGTTCAAGACTTGAAATTTTAAGGTGGCAATGCTTCGAAGCTACAGTTGCAGACCTCAAAATCCAAAATTGCTTTCTTGATCACATTCAGTATTTGCACATACGACTGTGTTGCATCTTTGCATAGGCAGAAGAATACACCCGTGAGAAACTTAATGGACAAAGAGGCAATCGGAATGCCTCTGCTGGTTATAACTTATACCTGCTTTAGCAATTCGCTTGCACAAAGCTTCACCTTTCTTTCTGTGGTTTCAAAGAAATCCTATTTCACCTTCTTTTCTTTTTTTTTATGCTGTTTTCAACCACACCAACATGCAAGCATGATGGACTCCATTTTAGGCATGAAAGCCATGCTCACAATTCATTTGAGTTGGCCCTGGAATTCATTTTTTTTAGGATTTAAGCCATCATAAACTTCATACGTATCTTGAAACAAGATATTATGCCTTGTCAACAGATCATGTGTTGACCAAGGGTATTAGGGAGGATAAGGTCCATCTTCCCCCCATTAACTTCAAGCACTTCCTACTAGGACCATTCAAATTTCCACAAAAAGATATGTTGCAGCACATCAAGCATGGAATTACACTATTATGAATTTAGCACAAAAATTGAACGTTAAATACTGTTTGCACAGGACAAAACAGTACACAAATCGTTAAAAGGAAACAAGTGCATACCTCTAACCACATGGATGTTTTCACCACTTTTTGGATTCCATATTCTCAAAGTTGCATCATCAGAACCAGTACAAATTGTTTTACCTAAAGTTACCAAGAAGTAAAACACACAGGCAATAATAAAATTTAGTTTCTGAATAAAAATCCCTAAATATACACATATAAGCACAATTTCTATTTTGTTGTGACCAAAAGTAGGATAGTACCATCAGGTGTGAAATCACCACAGGTCACACTACTGGCATGACCTGAAAACATATTAAGATAGGCACTTTTGTCAGCATTCCACATCCAAACAGAGGAATCCTCCGAACCAGCCAAGACCAAATGTCCTTTTGGATGCCACCTGACCCACTGTGTAGGCACATAGTTCATACTCAATCTTCATACATTAACTATGTGGCAAAAAAACAGTAAGAGTAGTCATAAAATCTCACCTCAATGCCCCCATTAGGACCATCAAGCGTACACTTGAGATTCCCAGAATTTATGTCCCAGATTTGAACAAGTCCATCAAAACTTCCAGATGCAAGCAACTGTCCATCAGTACTAAAGGCTAAACTAGACACAGATTCTTTATGACCTGCACAGTTTTTGAAAAGCTTCGACTAAAGAACAAGGATTAAGGAATCATGGACCAATTTATGCTACAGTGATTGAAGGCAGAGAAAAATTGGACTAAACACAAATCATCTTAAAACGAAAATCATGCACTTTATTTTTTGGAGCCGTAAAATCATGAGATACTGGATAGCCAATTATGTATCAGTGACTAATACCTTGTAGCTCAAAAGCCCAATCTCCTTGACCAATCTTCCAAAGAAATCCTTTGTCATCTCCACCCCCTGTTGCCACTAATGTACCATCTGTTGGGCTGCATGCAACCGTATACAGTTCACCTATGCTCAAAAATAGAGAAGACAAGTTATCTCCAGAAACTTATTACTACGATGCATAGCAAAGTCAGAGCATAGTTAGTTGTCCATATCTATTCTGGGATCAAAAGCCAACCAAACAAGTGCATGTGGTTCACAAACACCAATTAATAGAGCACATTTAGTTTCCTACCTCAGTATAGTAACAAATCCCATAGCTGGCAAGTGGAAAATAAAGAACACAATCAACAAAGACACACATGATTAGGCTATATTTGATTCGAATCTAGGTATATCAACCAAGACAATTACCTTCATATCACAAAAAACCGTAACATTGGAATGGTGAGAACTCATCGGACCACCTTAAGAAACTCAAATCAAAAGTAGATGAATTACTCTAATCAATATTACAAGAATCGTACAACATACACTACGGATGGGAAATTCTAGTTTCTATTTCTCTCGTGACCATGGAACAAAAATACAAAAAGATACTTTTATATGTGCCTATAGACGTAATCCTTAATTGTTAAAATAATTAACTCCATGCAAAACCCAGTATACTCTGATGCCATGCCACTGATCTAGTTTCTCTCAAGGCTAATAATAATGACAGGGACAAGAAACGAGGGCAGATTGTTGAGGCAACTAAGTCCACACTCATTTATCAAAGAGAGAGATTTATTATTTAATTGGAACCAGTGGTACAGAATTTCAAAGGCTCAAGACCCCACAATGCCAACCATCCCTTAACTTCCATTCAACTATTCAAACTATTCGGACACTTCAAAGACTACTTTCCATCCAACCTTCTCACAAGTAAATGATTCTCTAATGTGGTGTAGTGTTAGGTTCACTAGGATGAAATAGAATGGAATGGTCATTCCTTAGCATAAAGTGATTGTTTTCTTATAATGGTGAATGGTTATTCTATGTGTAATACATTTTTCAACTAAACTAAATGTAAATGGACATTATGATGGAATGATCAATTCATTCCACATCATTCTAGTGAACCAAACAGTGCATAAAAATTACAACACCTTCCCTTTTCTTTAGGGTCCATTTGATTAGCGTGAAAAATATGATCAAAAGTGAAAGTAATAGAAAGTGAAGTGAAAGAAAATTTAAATTTTCTTGCATGCATTTGGTTAAGATGAAATTTTTTTGAGATAGAACTTGCTACTTTGACGGAAAAACAAATTCTTGTATTTTTCTAAAAATACTGGAAGCTATTTAACTTTCTTGCACTTTCCATCACTCTCATGCTAAATACATGCAGAAAAGGTTTAATTTTTTCTTCTCTTTCCCACACTTCCATTTCCTTCATCCTAACCAAACTCACGTTACAAGTCTTGTACATAAATAAAAGTGGTGAGAATTTATTTTATTCAAAGAGTTAATCAACATAATTATAATTTAACCCAAAAAAAAAGATAAGTGTTCATAATCAAAAAAGAAGTCAGCTTGAGTAGATAAAGAACCAAAATTGAGAACTTACCAGTGTGGCCAGTGAATATATGCATGGAATCATCATCTTCCTCTGAAACAACACTACACAATTAAACTAAAGCTGCGTTTGGTTGGGGGATATAAGAAGGGATTTAGAAATAAAAAGAGAAAGTTAGGTGAAATGTGAATAAAATTCACACAGCTTTTCCCTTTCCATTTCTAAATCTTTTCACAAAAACTGATTACTACAATTATAACTATATAATCAGCATCAAAATCTTTACAAATAAATAAAAGAGGATTCAGTTAAATGAAAGCACTGTAAAAGATGAAAAGAGAAATGAATGATTTGAGTGAATTGAAAGAAAATATTGGAGATTACCAAGAGGTTCAGCATCAGATCCTGCTTCGTCGTCAGCGTCAGGAAGATCTGAAACCAACAGAGAGAGAGAGACAGAGAGAGATTGTATTATATAGATTGAGAATATGATGTGAACGAAGAGAGAGAGAGAGAGGACCTTCATCGTCGACGGGGATTTCGTGGAGGATATCGCTTTCGTGGAGGAAAACCTCGCCGCCTTCTTCTTGATCTTCATCGTCGTTGTCATGAGAGCTCATCTTTGCCCTGTGAGAAGCTGCGATTGAGAGAAGGTTTTTGCAGGGTTTGCTGAAGGACTTGTCTTTCTAAATGTCTCAACACAAAGTTTATAATTTATCAATATCAAAATCAAAATCAAAATCAAAATACAATTTACTTCACACATCCCTAATTATTTTCCAAATCATTTATTAAATATCACATCCCTAATTATTTTCCAAATTATTTATTAAATATTAATTTAATAAAAATTTTGGTAAAAATAAAATATAATCTCCTCTACTTATTCTAAATCAGGGTTTCATTAAAAATAATAAAAATTTTGGTAAAAATAAAATATAATCTACTCTACTTATTCTAAATCAGGGTTTCATTAAAAATAATAAAAATTTTGGTAAAAATAAAATATAATCTACTCTACTTATTCTAAATCAGGGTTTCATTAAAAATTTCATGAATCTCATAGGATTGGCAAGAGAACTTGAAACACTAGTGCCACTCCGAACGTGTCTTATTTTGATAATTTACACGTCATTTTATAATAAAAAATTAATATATATCATTCATGAAAATTATTATATTGATTTGATAATTATAATATTTTTATTTTATCATATTTATTTTTAAACAAAATAGACAACAATTATATTTTTAAAAATATATAATCCATTTTCTTATGTCAAATTCATAAAACTAGAGAGAATTCAATCCAATCAAATATTTCATCAAATTTTTACTGAAATGTGATATAATTATTATAAAAATAAACAATTGAAAATCATTTTTTCCACCAGTTACAAAAGATTTTTTTAAATATGCTAGGTATATTTAAATTAGAGTGATTTACATCAAATTAAATTTTTAATCTAAATTATTGAATAAATTTAATGAAAAAATAAATAAATGAAACGTTGGACATACTCTAATTTTATAGGAAAAATAACCAATAAGTTCTATTTTACTCTCAAGATTACTATTAACTCCTATTAGGTTTTCAAATGAACAACTAAAGACCTATTTGTCATAACATGCTCCCAGAAGATTCATTAGTCCATGCATCTTATTCCAATTTTACCCTTCTTCTTTAATATGAACAATTTTATACAAAATTTTAACATAATTAAAATTTAAAATTCTAATTTTAAAAAATATTAATATTATATTAAAACAATTATAAATAACAATTGGACAGAAACAAGTATGGTATAAAATGCATCATTTTCTGTTATTTGAATTTTTTTATAAAATTTTATTTAAAAAATAATATCTATTTGTTAATATTAAAATTTGATATAACTCAATAATAATTTTCAAAATAAAATAGAATTTATTGATAATTTTTCATTGTCGTTTATGATTTTTTAATACAATATCATAATTTTTATAATTAAAAAATATAATTTTATTTAGATTAAAAATATTTATGAAAATGTTGTGCATATTATATGAGAGATAAAATTAGAATAACATGCATCATTATGGAATAATAAACTTTTTAAAAATATTTTTAAAAAAATAGAATTTAATTGTCTATATTAAAACTTTATAGGACTCAATAGTAATACTTAGACTGTGTTTGGTAAGGGTTTTTTTAGGCTTTTTTGGCTATTTTAGTCACAAAAAACAAAATAGGCTATTTTAGCCATAATAAACAAAACATCACATCCAACCTATAATCATTACATTCTTCTCTCACAAAAAAAGTCAAAAAAGTCAAAAAGCCAAAAAGCCCTTCCCAAACTAAGCTTTTTAGCCCAGACTAAAATAGCCAAAAAAGCCAAAAAACCAAAAAGCCAACCCACTTCCCAAACGGAGGCTAAAAGTAAAATATGACTTGTTAATCATTTTTCCAATTTTATATCCACCCCATTCTTATAAGTTAGCATCAACTACCAAATTAGTTTCGAAATCAAAGTATAGCCAAATCGTGAATTTTTGCTCAAAAGTTAATTTTTAAACCATATCATTTTATTTGGTGATTAATAATTGTACCCAAAAAATAAAAAATTATGGACCCGCTGTATAACTATATCACTTTACCTGTCAACATATTTAACTCCTAATTTTTTAATTTATTAAGGATAAAACGATATATCAACTACGAAAATGACTGGTAGCTCGAAATTTGTGGCTCGATTTTGGCTCGACAGCCTAAAACGACGTTTATTTTGGCTCGATTTTTTAATGGAATAACATGCATCATTATGAAATAATAAACTTTTTAAAAATATTTTAAAAAATATATAATTTAATTGTCCATATTAAAACTTTATAGGACTCAATATACTAAAAGTAAAATATGACTTGTTAATCATTTTTCCAATTTTATATCCACCCCATTCTTATAAGTTAGCATCAACTACCAAATCAGTTTCGAAATCAAAGTATAGCCAAATCGTGAATTTTTGCTCAAAAGTTAATTTTTAAACCATATCATTTTATTTGGTGATTAATAATTGTACCCAAAAAATAAAAAATTATGGATCCCCTATATAACTATATCACTTTACCCGTCAACATATTTTACTCCTAATTTTTTAATTTATTAAGGATGAAACGATATATCAACTATACATGTCAATTTTATAGTAAAATGCACATTCAAAAATTAATTTTTATTTATATACCTATATACTACATTTTTGCTTTGGTTATAAAGTTAGTATGCACATATATTTTTTCCTTACATACTTTTTTAAATAATATTGTGGTACACACTTTCAAATATGCAAGTTACGACATTTATAGATTTAATTATCACAAATGTTATAACTCAATCATATAAGAATCATAACTAAAGTATATATATAACAAGTTATAACCAAACAATACTTAAAGTATAAATAAAGAACTCTTAGATTATAATAAAAATAATATCATAATCAATATTACAATAAGTTATAACTAATATTATAATAAATCATAACCAAAGACTACAAAGATCATAATCAATTGTGCATATGTTTACCATAGAATTTTCCTTTTCTTTTTTTTTATAGGGGATAATAGTATATACACATGAGAGGGAGATTTATAGGTTGGCTTGGGCCGTGGTAGAAGCTGGGCAAAATGAAGGCCGAGCGTGTTTGGGCCGAGCTAACTTAGGCTTGTCCAGAGGTGGTTTTGCCTGGTCGAGGCCTAGGACCATGTTTGGACCGAGCTACTTGGGCTTGTCCATGTCCAGTGTCGGTTTTGCTCGGCCAACAATCAAGTCCTGCATCTAGGCCGAGCTTACTTAGTCGAGATGATCGCCTACCAACCCGGGTTTCATGGTTCGCACGTTTAGCTCGGCGGGAAAGGCCTTCTGTTTACCGGCTCGACCTGTCTTGAACTCGGTTCTGCCGGAATGCTACTGAGCTTGGTTGTTATAGAGCTCGGCAAGTGGAGCACTCGAACTCGTTATGCAGCACGGTCATGTGAGGCCGAGGTGATACCGTCGGGCTGCTGAGTTCCCGTTAATGTTGTCTAGCGGTTTGGTTAGGTGGTGTTCGCTGGATTGGTGCTGACAGATGGGAGAGCAGCTCCACGTGTCAAGAGACTAATGGGTGCAGAGTTAAGCGCAGAAAGTATATAAGCATGACTGCGCCCCCTATGCTTGGGATGGAACATCATTTGGTGAGATAAATTTACATTCATTCGGTTTCTCTCTCTCTCTCTCCCTAAGTGTGTGCTAACTTAACCGTCGGAGGGGTTTTCCGGCAACACACCGCCGGGTAGCTCACCGCCGTTGTGTTCTCAGGTTGATCGAATAGATTTGGAGCTTGGATGAAAGAAGTACAGACAGCGACAAACATTTCCTCCCCGTACAATTGGCGCCGTCTGTGAGAAGGTTCAACAGACAAAACCTTGTCTTCCAAGCTCATCCGATCGCCTTTAATGGTGAACAACAACGAAATACTGTTGTCTACCATTGGCGGTGTTATCCCGGAATCAGCCAAACGGAGAGACGGACTCCCCGCCGTTTAGAACATGGCGGACCTGGAAACTTCCCCTGAGGACTTTCAAGAGATGCATGAGATAAGCGCTATAGAAGTTTTGGTCGCTCATGGAGCCCAAAGGGACACTGGCAGCGAAAAGAATCGCATGCTCGACGTTTGGAGCACAAGTTTGGGGACCAAGACACCATCATCCAAAGAATGACGACAGAGATAGAAGCTCTCAAATGCCAGGTCAAAGGGAAGGGTGTTGCTGGAGTGGGAGACCACAATGAGCGCACCCAACCCCGCCGTTCAGGTAGCCAGAGCCAGCGACGCACTCCCTCCCATTCTATCACCAGAAGTTATAGAGGTGGAGACCTAGACACGCTTGCAGAAAAGTCTAGCGCGCAAGATAGCACCTACCATCCCTTACGTCCGGCGACCACTTCGGGATATTCTTACTCCGTCCGTTCAGAGGACTTAAGGGATGTCCTGAAGGAGCAAGCTCGTTGACGGGAGAAAGAAATGGTGCCGGCGTTCCAGCGGTTATCTTACGGAGGTCACCATAGTGAGGAGGTTATGATGCCGCCGCCCCGTTTGACCATACCAGTTCCTTTGGACACCGACTTGGCGAGGCTGAACGCCTTTCCCTTCTCCCTCGAAATAGAGACCACGCCGCTCCTAGCAGGCTTTCACCAGCCCAAATTTACACTTTATGAGGGAAAAAGATCCCTATATGCATGTAAGCCGCTTCCGACATGTCATGGCCGGACATAGGTGTAATGATGCTCTTATGTGCCTTATTTTCCCATCCAGCTTGGGCGAACTGGGCTTGAAATGGTTTGAGAGACTCCCAGAAGAGAGCATCGAGAGGTGACAGCAGTTGGCGGAAGCATTCGTGACCCGTTTCAAAACTAACACCAAAACGTCAAAGGAAGTGGACCACCTTCTTAGTGTTAAGATAGAGTCTAGTGACACCCTCAAGGCATACAACTCTAGGTACTGGGAAACCTTCAACGAAATCCTAGATTGCCCGATCAACCTGGCAATCACCCAATATAAGCGCGGTCTCCGAGTCGGGCATAGGCTGAGGGACTCGCTTACAATGAACCAGCCGACGTCGATGGGGCAACTAATACAGCGCATCAATGAGCACCTCCGCGTAGAGGATGATGCGGCGGCATCCACCGT